CCATTATCACAAAATAGCACTAGATTTTCATTGGCTTTCAACTTCACATTGTCACTTGATTTTAAATTTAAAATTCATAAAGAATTTAAATATGATATCATGACATGAGCTGATAATCAATCCAATCTGGGGTGGGGTATGTTCGTAGCCTAGTAGCAATCAATACACCAGAGAAATGTAATGAGTAATGAGTTAACATATGGTCCCGATTCCCCCAATTAACGGAATTTCAATAATATTGTAGTTCTTTTTGGACTTAGAATTGCACAATGTAGAAAATTTGAGTTTTGCACAATGTAGAAAATTTGAGTTTTATGGTTTTTAGTTTCTTGAAACTTGGATGATCCGCATTATTATACCAATATTCACTAATACCCTGCAAGAACACTTTTATAACCAAATTACACAAGATTTCCAATGGGAAAACCATACCTTCTTTTACCATTAGCTGAACAATATCAAGAAACAGAAACAAAATTTTTTATCAGTTAGATTCTTCTTCGGTTATCCACTCGGGTTCTCTTGATGTCAGGTTCTGTTTGTAGTTGCTGGCTGCTTGGTTGTAACCTCTTTCGGTAACCACTTTCTTGAATCTTGTTGAGTTTCTCCCTGACAGTTTGAACCGTTTGATTCATCGAAGACGACGTAAAATGCTCCTGGTCAGACGAAACTCGAGTAATAGGAGCATTTCTTCTATGGAATTGGTAATCCATCTCTCTTTGCAAGCTACTTTGTGTGGATGAATCGCCTGTTTGTGTCGAAGCTGGGCCAGCAAATTTCGTAACTTGGGAGGTGCTCTTGCCTTTCTCGGGGTTGTTCAGTCTTGCAAGCACTTCTTTCCTCCTGGTTTCTAACTTATCCTTTGTGTCACTGAGACTCTCGAATTCGGGAGCATATGAAATTTGAAGCCGATTACCCAAGAAAACTGATTCATCCAACTTCCTCTTTGCAAATCTGGCATTAACGGTGAGATGAAATTTGATCCAGTAGACATCAGTGAACTCCTCACAGTCTTCCGCATCCATAGGTTTACATTCTTCAACCTCTCCGTAAGTAGCGAATAATCTCATGAGATCATCACCACAACCCAAAGCTGGGACATTACGTACTACTAAGTATCTTGATTCATCGCAAACCGTATAAACCCTAACCGCTGGAGGATCCTCTTTGTATCGTCCCATCTTCTAAAAGACACACACGGAAGGCGAACAATCTCGATATTGAGGATGGCGAACTGAAACAAAGGTGTACACGCAACAGGAAAACTCAAAACTCCAGTCGATTAAAGTTGAATCCTCTCAAAGTTCCGGTGAGAGGGTCCATGGAATAACAATTCAGATAAGGAGACCAAGATGTTGACAAGTTATTACAAAGTTTTGCAACCGTGAACCGGCATAACGTCAATGAACACAAGTTACATAACAGAGCTATATTTTTCATTCACCTCTGAAAAACTCGAGAAATATACTACCGTTTCCTAAATGCCAACTTGCTCACGAACAAAAAACCTTAATATAGTCCCCTAATCTGGAAACAAAATACTATATTGCCTGAAACACAAAACAGGGAAAGTATACTAGAATCTGAAAGACAAAACTACAACGTTGAACTAGAGCAGCTTCTCTTCTACACTTGGCAGCTACATATCGAACATTAATGGCTATAGAATGTGGTTTGCAAACACCAAAGTGCAGTTACTAAGAACAGAATTAGGCAGTTTCTAGAATATGTTCTGTATTACAAACCTTAAATTCCTGGAACAATCAACGACATAGAAGAACGATCTAACAAAAAAAAAAGGGTCAAATCCTTGTAAAACCCTAAATCCTCATTCCACACATCATCACAAGAATCGAGATTGTTACAGACCTTAACGAATACGGTGATCGGCTGCGGTCGCGCCCCTGGTACGACGGCTGCTACGGGCGAGCGGGAGTAGCTACGGCGGTGAGACGGCGACTGTTACAGATTTTGTAAGTAATTGGTAAATCACGATCTAGTAGCTCACCGCGAGCTCTGAGATAAGGTGATCACGGTTCTAGAAGATGATTTAGAGACAGAATATCATCTCGAGGAGATCCGGATCAGTGATGAAGGAAGATCAATATACGAGAGAGACAGAGAGGGGTAGAAGAAGAAGATTAAACGTTTTCGATTAATTATTCCCAAATTGGAGAATCATTACTTAATTGAACCAACAATTGGACTAAACTGATTAATAACTTAAACCGGTTTAGGAATATATATTCCCTATATCGCGTAACCGTTTTTGATTCCGGTCTTGAGTTACAGAGAAGCCGCAGCCAAATTTGTTATGTTCATAGCCAATTTCTTGTCAATATCCGTARACCGCATGTTCATAGCCCCTTGCAATTCTTTTTGCAGCTGAATTCAAACATAATATCGCTTCTAGTCACATCCACTTTAAGGAAGATGTGTTTTGGGAACAAGTCACCAATGCATATAAACAGATTGGACTGTG